TTTCAGAGTGATTACCAGTACTGCAAGCATCGGCAGATACTTTATTTATTTTGTGATGCACTTAGCTCAAATTATTTTATTTTGTGTAGATATAATTTCAACAAGTGAACCTGGAATTGTTTGTGTTTGCAACAAATACATATTTTTTCTGTTGATATAATTTCAACAAGTGAACCTGGAATTGTTTGTGTTTGCAAGAAATACATATTTTTTCTATTGGCTGATATTATGCCCCTTTGTGATCATGTGAGATATTTGCTACTAGAAGTTTAGTACAACCCTATTTTGCAAAAAAAGGTACAACCCTTCATTTTATTTAACTTGGCAAGAAAAGTTGTTTAATTAGCTTAAAGTTGCCTCCTAGATGATTATTCAATGCATGCTGGAAGAAGATTTGTCGTGAACTATCAAGCACTGTGAACTCATTTGGTTTTGTCCATGTTTTTCAGACGCTTGGTCAGCCTCATGTCTAATTCTATCAGATGTATCAGCTGAACTGAGCCACTTCACTAAATATATTGGCGGCCCATGAGGCTCCTAGCCAAATTTTTTTCCGAAGATACATGACACTTGAGGTTTGGATCGAGTACGGGCAACAATGTCTTAACTTTAGGATCACTCTCTGAGTTCCTAAAGTCACATACTTCCATTTTTGTGCCTATGGTCATTGGCAAAATACTCTTTTGGTTAGCCTGTTGGATAAAACATGGTGGGTAATACATGTGTGGCAACAATTATTATGTTCCCATGAAATTAACCCTTTTCTTCTTTGTTAGTTATTATCTTCCATGAATGTCTGTTCTTCTAGCTGAAATTGATCATGTCGGATAAATGTCTTTCCTGCATCACAAGTTCTATCCTTCTACTCCCTCCGTTCGGAATTATTTGTCGCAGAAATGGATGTATCTAGACGTATTTTAGTTCTAGATATATTCATTTTCGTGACAAGTAATTCCGAACAGAGGGAGTAATAGATTGTCGAAATATTCATCGGTTTGCTTCAAATCCTATTGATCCACCCCGAAACGCATGCTCTAAAGCTTCTTACTCTATGTGAATCATTTTTATCAGAATTTACAGCTATCATGCTTCAAACTGACTGGTTTTATTCATAATTTGCTCATGCCTAGCATATTCTTCTTTCCTCTCAGCTGATTTGAGAAAACTGATCCACCTTGGAAGACTTCCATTATCAGAATCTATTGATCCACCTTGTAATACCGGCCCTTCTATGTTAGTATATAAGCCTATTAGTATGTATGGAACTATTAGGCTTGCTCTGCTTTATGAATGCATACTCTTCCTGCTGTAGTTATATTGTCGTGCTCCGCGGGTTGGCGTTAGCCGCCAACAACGACGAGGCTGGCGGCTCGGGCGCGGGGGTCATCAACCTTTGTCGGTGTCCTGTTTTTTCTTTGGTTTTTAGTTTTTGTTATGATCGATGTCTTGTTTTAACTTTTATAAATTACATTGAAATGACCGGAGCTTGATGGATGTCCATGAACATCTTGGTGGTATCCGTTTGCTGATCCACATTGGAGATGCCCTAATTTCATTGTATTTGAGTGTCATTTATTTAGCTCTTTCAAAATTTATATTGCGACTTCGTATAACATGTCATTATCATGTGTTACCAAGATTGCAAAAAAGCAACTGGAATGGATGGCTACCAACCTGCACCGTCCGAGTTTTCTTTCAGGAGGCGTCACAAGGTGGCGCCCCAACCCCTAGTTGATAAGTGTTGGCAATTCTAAAAACAAAAAGCCAGTACGGGCATGTACAATGGTGCTATCTTAGAAATGCCACGTAGGATAAATGATGAGGTGAAGGAGAGAGATTTCATAAGAAAAGGCTTGTCTTATCTTATTTAAGAGAAGACAAGAGGTGATATCTTAGCACAATATGTCTCACCACACTTTTAGGAATTGCTAGTTATTAAGGATAAGGCTAAGAGATGACCCATTGTAGACAAATTTTTGTATCATCTCTAAATCACATGCAAGACTTAAGATAAGACTATTTTATCAACCATTGTACATACCGTACTAGCGATCTCTCTCAAAAAAACAGGCCAGTAGCGATCTCTTGAAAGAGCTGCTGCGTTTTCCCTAAAAAAACAGAGCTGCTGCGGGAGGGACCGGTTGAAGCGGCACGATCGTATGAGACGTGACTCGATGTACCTTGTTGGCACGATCGTACGAGCGCACGAGAGGTAGAGAGCTCCTCCTCGGCGCCTATAGCGCCAGGAGAGAAAGCTGGCGCTCACGCGCGCGTTAAGTGGGCCGTGGTCCATTAAGCACTTCTCTTTCCGCTGGTCTTCGCTCGCTCGTGTGTTCGCTCGTTGGCGAAGGCTCATCGTTCTTTGTTCAGGTCTTCGTGGTTGACTGGCCTCCTGTTAACTCTCTGACAATATTTTTTCCAAAAAAATCAAAGAAAGATCGCAAAAAAAAAGTTCACCGAATTTGAAGAGAGTTCGCAAATTTGAAAAAAGTTCATCAATATTTAAGAAAGTTACCGAATTTGAAAAAAAAATTGATTGATTTGAAGAAAAGTTCACAAATTTGAAAACAATTTTATTGAAGTTGAAAAAAAAATCACCGAGTTTCAAAAAAAATTCATCGAGTTTGAGAAAAAGTTCAGCAAACTTAATGAAAGTTCATCGAATTTGAAAAAAAAGTTCATCGAACTTCAAAAAAAATTCATCAAATTTGAAAAAAGTTCATCGAATTTGAGAGAAATTTCGTCGAGTTTCAAAAAAGTTCATCGAGATTAAAAAAAAGTTCATCAAGTTTGAAAAAAGTTCATCAAATTTGAAAAAAAGTTCACCAAATTTTAAATATAAAGTTCATTGAATTTGAGAAAAAGTTCATCGATTTTGCATCGAACCAGGAAAAAGAAAAAAGAAAAGGGAAAGAAGGAAAAAAGGAAAAGGGGAAAATGAAAAAAGAAAAGTACGAGGAAGAAATGAACGAGAAAGATGCACCTAATCAAATTAGGCTCAGTGGCGCGGTGGTGAGTGCATTGTACGACGACACAGGAGGTTGCCTGTTCGAATCCCGTGCACCCGCTTTTGTTACGGCGCCCGTTGCGCCCGTTTCTTCGCTGCATGCAAACGGGCGCATACCCCCCGCGCCAGGCTGGGCCGGCCCATTTCTTCTTTTTCTGTTAAAACTGCATCAATCAAAAAAGCGTGAGTGCGGTGGTTGGAACTTGGGATGTTTAGTTTAGACATCAGCGCAGTTACCACTAAGCGAGGAACCACTTGCTGTTTGCAAACCTCTTTTCCCTCTTTTATTGTTTCTCCAGATCGCGAGATTTTTTTCTCTCCTTTTTCCTGCTCTTTTTTCATTTCTCTTTTCTTTATTCCTTTTTCTTTTTTCCGTAAATGTGCAATTTTTTATTCAAATTTGATGAACCTTTATCAAATTGATGAACTTTTTGTAAAATTCGATGAAAATTTTCAAATTCCATGATTTTTTTAATACGTGAACAATTATTGAGAACCTGAACAAAAAATTATATACGATGAGCGATTTTCAAATATACACTAAACATTTTTTTGGTGTACGATGAACAATTTTTAACTACACAGCGAACATTTTTGTGATATACATTGAAATAATTTAAAACATATTTATACATTTTTTTGATATAAGATGAACAACTTTTATACATTGAACATTTTTGTAATATAATCTGAACAATTTTTAACTACACATTGAACAATTTTGTGATATGCGCTGAAAAACCATTTAAATACCCATTGAACATTTTTTATGTACACTGAACAATTTAAAATAGTGAACAAAATATGAAAAAGTGAACAAATTTGAAAAACTATGAACACGTTTTGAAATCACGAACAAAAAAGAAAAATACATTTTTTTTAAATTCCATGAACTTTTTCCAATTTTAATGAACTTTTTCTAGATTTCAATGAACCTTTTCTAGATTTCGACGAACTTTTTTAAAATTTGATGAAGTTTTTCCCACTTTGATGAACTTTTTTTCAAATTTGATGAACATTTTTCAAAGTTGCTGAATTTTTTAAAAAATTTGAACAATTTTTTTGATATTGATGAACTATTTTTCAAAATTTATGAACTTTTTTGAAATTTGTGAACTTTTTTAAAATCAATCTTTTTTTAGTTCGTTAACCTTTTCAATGCGTGATTATTTTGAAATCTGTGAATTTTCGAATTTCGTCCCGAAAAAATTACGTTTCTCAAAATCTGTGCGCAATAAATAGCGCGACTTTAATTATTCTTAATTCATGCGCGCTGAAAATATCCATGATTGATTGGTTGCACTAGTGGTTAGTGGACTGGAACATGTACTGGAGGTTGCGTGGTCGAATCCTCACGGGAGCAACACTTTTTAGGGGATTTCTTTTGTGGTATAGAAGGCGTGTCGTGGGCCGGCCCAGCAGGCGCGGCTGTGAGCGCCAGCTTCCTGAACCGGCGCTTAAGGCGCCGGTTAGGAGCTCCTGAGAGGTATGTGGCTCGATTTGTTTTTTTTTTTAGAAATCTGTCACTCGGGCCGCTGTGCTCGCGTGGTAAACGGGCCGCCGTGCCGGCCCGTGTAGCAGGGGGCCGTGCCTGGGCCATATAGGGCAGCACGCATGCCGGCCTGTGCACTTAGCGTGCCTAACCGGGTCGTGCCGTGCCTGCCTGGCCCGTTTAAACCAGGCCGGGCCGTGCCGTGCCGTGCCGGCCCATTTGGCCAGGTTTGTTCGCGTCAACCTGTTCCGTTCTCAGCCTCCTTCCTTCCTTCCCCCTCCTTCCCCAGCGAGCCTGCCACAGTTTCACTCCACTTCCACGGTTTCCGCCGGGCGAGCCACCGAAATCCAAGGTCGGGCTAGGGCTTTTGCGCAGCGCGCGCCAAGTCCTGCGATTTCCAGGGTTCTACCCCCGCCGGGAGTTCCAGCTTCGCGTCTTGGTCGGAGCTTAACTGCTCGAACAAGCGCGCGATCCGGCGGCGCCGCCGGACCGTCCGAGGAAATGCAGGCTCCACGGGCTCCAGTCCTCGTGCAAAACGAGAACTTGCCCATCTTCCGAGGTAATTAACCCGCCACCTGCCCACCTCGCCGAATCCGCGGCGAACTCTCTCCCTGCGCTGACCCGCTGCGCGTCCCTGCCGTTGTTTGGCCAGGCGTTGATGGGAAGAAGGCCGGAGTGGCGCGCGGGCATGCGGCGAGGGCGGGGCGGAGAGCCCTGGGAGACCTCGGTAGAGCCGGCAAAGCCCCGCCGGCCGGCGCCTCCAGGAAGGCCGCAGCAGCAGCAGCAGCAGTGAGCGTGCAGGGGTCGAAGGGCGTGGCGAAACCGAGCTCTCTGAGTGACGGGGACTGGGTGAAATGCTGCGAGTGGGCTAAGGGTGGCATTGAGACTGCGAGTTTCACCGGGAATGATATGCAGAGACTGATGGCAGACGAGCGTGAAGAGCGTATGTTTTCTGTTTAACTGAACTTCTTTAGCCACTATAAAAAACAAGTTTTTAGTGTTTGTATGTGTTAAATCTTTCCTATGTTTCAATTCCGGAACCAGGCATACGAAAGAAGGTGGAGAAGGCAATGAGCACTTTGCAAGTCTCCATGGACAGTATTTATGACATCGATGAACCATCAAAGGTATGTCGTAACCTTTTGCCTGATCCCAAATTACCCTCAAGTGTGATGAAACTTAGTTGTGCATCAAGATGATACACTACAATCGAGAGGAATAATATCAGGCTGGAGTAAATTGGTGATAACAGTGAATGATTGAACTGTTATGATTGCTGATGGTTAGCATTTCTCAGTCACAAGCTAACTAATTTTCTGGTGGACAACTGGGTTATATACTTGGCTTTGTGGAATTAGATTAGAATAAGTGTTAGATTATATATTAGTATGCTATTTATCCCCTTTAACTGCAGGCTCGTGACTGCTATAAGATGACTGAGTTAGTGAACAGCATGGTGTTACTGATGACTATGAGTTGAAATGTTTTCCCCATTGTTCTGTTGATGTCATGAGTATGCGTTGTGTGCAATTAATTACCTCCAGTTGTTTAAATTCACTACTTCTGTATTTTAGATATCCATGGACGATCCAGATGATGAAACAACATTGGAGCTTGACCCTGAGATTCTTCCTCCAATGTCGCATTTAAGCTCAAGACTAGGTTTGTCTCACTGCCTTCGTCCGCCCTCTTGCACGCTGTGTCACATGCATGTTTGTGGCAGTAAATTACACGAATAATTCACTACTGTGTCACATGCCCTCCTTCCCACAAAAAAGTCTTCATAAACTTACTAAAAATTATCTACACGTGTCATTGCGTGGCAAAACCTTTTGTTGCAACTGGTCCAACAAACCTGTCGTTTTCATGCAGGTGAGCATGATGGCAACTATCTCCTTCCTGATTTAGAATTTGAGTATGAAGCTTTCTCTGGTTGCAATTTCGAACTGAAGCTCAAGGATGGTTACGGAAATGATAGTTCTTCTAAATCAACAATATTACTCCGTTGAGGTTTCATCGTTCAGTGTACTGGTTATCTTGTCAAACTGTTGTAGTATGTTTAGTTATACTGCAAGGTATATGTTGCTGGCATGCCCTATCTTATCTTGTCCAGATCTTATAGGCAGTCACATCATACATGCAGTTCATATGTGCCCCGTGTTGTTAGGCTCTTCTGGTTGTAGTATATGTAACACTAATGGTAAATTAATAATTGTTGTCACTTACTACTACCTCTGTATCATAATCAAATTGAACTGCAAAGACGTCTTATATTATGGTACGGAGGGAGTATTTGCAAATCGTTTTTAGGCTCTCCTGGTTGTAACACTAATGGCAAATTAATGACTGTATTCATTCATTATTTGCGAATCTTTTGGCGTAGCCACTGAAAGTTGAAATCGTGATGTATAACCCCTGATCCCTGTCCATATTGAGCTTAAGTCCAATACGACTTAACTTTTTTAAGACATAATGTAGGACAGGCCTGATTGGAGTAGAACTTTGACCTCACCTTTTGTCATGTTAACTGAAGATACTTTATTCCCATGTTTTTATTTTCATTCAATTGTAGGCAGAAAATGACAATTTGGTTTACGTCCGAGCAAATGTAGTGCTGTTGTAAGTTGCAACTCATGGTACATTGAACATTCCAATCTTCCTTTTGCTTTCCTTAATACTAGAAAGTAAGACTTAAAACCAACTAAAACCTAAACTAAAATGACAAGTTTAAAGCACAAAGGACAGAGTGAATAGCAGAATGTGCGAGTAGCATTGTCAGTTAATAATTGTGTATGAGCACAACACACTTCGGCAAATTCGTGCTGGGCACTTCTCGCATCTTACTGGAAAAATGCAAGAACATATTTCAAGAGAAAACACTAACCATCTTGGATGAGCTAGCAAGTAGTTTAGCAGATGTCTGAATGCTCACATGTGCAAATATTCCTTGTGGTACACAGTTAATATTTTGTTTTCTCAGCCTAAGTTATCTTGTAGCTCCTGATCTAGAAATAGCTTACCTCTTATCAGTAATGGCAGTTCAAGAAACAACAACTGATCAAGTGTTGTACTGCTGTACTTATTTGCCTTGGCTGTGGAGAAAATTTATGCATGCCCACTGAACCACCAAGCAATGGAAAACTGGTCACAATCTTTCACTGGTGGAGGCTGGTGGAAGGGTATCATCCCTGCTGTTGTCGTTGCATTTGCTGAGTCTAAGCTTCAGGTTTCTCCTGCATTTCCTCATGTATATAGCTTAGCAATCAATTGTTTGGACTAAATTATGTTATTGCAGCTTAGCATGCTTTGTAGGATCCTTGCCAACTGATTATGATTAGTCCTGTTCAGCAAGGAGTGAACTCTTTGCACCTTGAAAAGTAAGACTTTTTAATCTTGCACCCACATGATTGAGAATCCATGACTAGCATATTTTCTGTTACGTGTGCACACCAAATCAATGCAATTTGTATCAGAAATTGGTGCAATACAAGTTTTAGAGATGTTGACCTGCCACAGTGTCTCACAATACTAAAGACTCTGGTCGGCCTCCTGACTACTGCTGGTGGTAGCTTCTGCTGTTGCTTAAGTTTCACTCTGTTTTCTTTGCCCTATCGTTTTGCTTGAGTTTAGCTAGTTGTAGCGTGCTCAGGCCAACTGTTGCGCATACAGACCCTACTTACGGGCCAATGGGTTGCTGCCATGCCGAACATAGAGACGGTGTTCTGTGACCTCTCAACCGTGAAGCATCTCCAGGAGTTGGTTCAAAAATATGAGAGAACCTTCTTAACAAGAGACCCAGTCATGGGAACATATGTGTGATGGTTGCTTGCTTTAAGATCTGTAGCCGGATAGCTGTGTAAGAACTAACTTTAGGATCTGTAAACCTTGTTTATTTGCGCAGTACTCCCTTCGTTCCATAATTCTTCTCGTGGTTTTAGTTCAAATTATGGAACGGAGGGACTACTAACTACACTGATTAAGTATACAACTCGATGGCTAGCTTCGATGCTACTCCATGCCCTGTATAATCAACCAGTGCTGGAGAGCTACCATACACTACCTGCTATGCTTAAATAGATCTTAAGGTTTGATTAAGTTCCAGGAAAGAGTAGAGGCTCACTTATAGAGTGCTACTCCATGTTAGTCAAATGACTAGGGGATGGGCCAAAGTAATCATGATGTGATTGCCACCTAATGAAAGCTACACAGATGATTTTCTATAGATATGGTAGACTGAATTTTCAGATACTTTTCTTGTTCTTGGGGCTCTGGTTGCTGCTTATCCTTTTTCTTATGTCTTTTTCTTCCATGAATAGCTTCACTTTCTGGCTGGGACCAAACTAAAGACTATGATAGATAGATGTGGTGATAGATATATGTATTTAGGGGGGGCTGGTTTTGGATTTGGAGACCAGAACCTTCTCTCCGTTAAACTATAGCTGGCCAACGGTCTGCATGTCGTATGTGCATGCTGAAATTATAAATCCACCTCGAGCCCCCACTTCGATCAATCAAAATTCTTCTAGGGCGCAGCAGCTCTACTGGTAGACAAGAACAGGTCAAGTGCAACAAAACACTGGATTAGCCGCACAACTAATCGCGCGGCTCGAGTATCTTCTTGTTTGTTTGTTTGTTTGAACACTGGATCAATCTGATTTTAGAATTTTGTTTGAACAAAGAGAGTTAAGAGGGTACTGCTGGCCTGGTGGTGCACTCTTGAAAAAAAATGCTTAGACTGGATCAATCTGATTTTAGAATTTTGTTTGAACACCTAAATGCACTCTCCAGTCAAAGCAGTGATTAGTAAGAGGACCAAGAATTGTGGTAGAAAACGGATTGACGGCCAAAGTAATCATGATTTTTATTGCCACCAAATGAAAGCTACTCCTAATTTTCTTGGATATATGGTGGACATGATTTGGAGATACTTTTCTTGGTTCACGGGTCATGGGGCTCTGGTTGCTGCTTATCCTTTTTCTATGTCTTTGTCTACCAACTGCCATGAATAACTTCACATCGTGGGACCAAAACTAGACTAGGATAGATACATTATATAACTATATATACTACAAACAAGATTAGGGGTGGCTAGCTGATTTTGGGCTCGGAGACCAGAATGTTTTCCAGTAACCTATAGCTAGGCAACGGCCTGCATGCCGTCTATTTGTGCATGGACTACATTACATGCTTAAAATATCTCCTCAAGCAAAAATATCTAGGGTGCAACAGCTCTGGCCTGACTAGTGTGCAACAAAACACTGGATTAATACTCCCTCCGTCCTAAAATAAGCGTCTCAAACTTAGTACAACTTTGTATTGTACTAGCTCTAGTACAAAGTTGAGACAGTTATTTTGGGACGGAGGGAGTATATATCAGTTAGCTACACACCTAAATGAGCTACACACCGAAATGCTCAATTTGTTACTCTCGGAAAAAAATGCTTAATTTGTTTATTTGTCACGTAGCGCGGATATCTTCGAGGAACAACGCGTATGTGATCAAGTGCGCAGATCTAATGATTTGTAGTATAGTATAGTTAGCTAGCTTTGGCCTTTGGAGTTCAAAATAATCAGTATTTTCATTAATCATTTTAATGACCATCTCAGCCCAATCTCCTCTACAGGAAGACTTTGCCGTATCTGTATGTCCACCCTTGTAAGTATTCGCGCTTGTTGAGCATTACTGATTTTCCATGGCTGCCAATGCGCCACTATAACCTTTTTATAGATTTATTTATCTGGATATATAAGGTTTAGCATGCAGTTGCTGAATGATGAGATGTAATGCACTTTTGATATGGTATTATTGTTTCGAAACAAAATCATGTTTGGCAATTCAGATTATCTTACTAGATTAGTACTAACACAATGTTCGTAAGTTGAAGACAGGCATATATATCATGTTCAAGATTTATGCTAGCAATTACATAATTTGAAACTGTCTGTGCAGATTTATGCTAGCAATTACACAATTTTAAACTGTTTGTGCAGATTATGGGAAAAACGTATATAACCAGTGCAAACAACATAAACAAATCCATGTAAAGCCGAATAATGCACCTCAATACAAAATTGCAGTATAAAATTAATGTCATTAATTGCAACATCATGAAAAATATGCTCCTTTTTGGCCGAATACGAAAAGTATGCCCTCAAGGACCTGTCAAATGACAAACTTTAAATAAAAAAAGCAGCACTACGTACTGTTGTTGTAAAGGAACATGGCTCATGCACAATAAGACAACTCACCTGTACATGAGTATACATGTCACATTGTCACTAGTGGTGTGGTGGGGCTGTGGATTAGTTTGTAAAAATCAGCTGTTGTCGATCGCATACATCCAAAACACATCAGAAAAAAATATCTATAAATCACTTAATGAATAAATCTTTATGAGATATATACCTCCAGTCCATGCATATTTTGTTTTCAACCTTTTACCGACAATTGAAAGGCATGCACCGTCACGATCGTTTCATGGACCGCTATTTCTATGGCCATCAGAATTTCACAGCGGTGTTATCTACACTCAGGAGAATCTTTCTCTTGTGCGTGCTGCATTTGACCATATGCATGGCCGGCTTTGTGTGGTATACGTACTTGCACTATGCTACCATGCATTTGATCTCGCAAAACATGCTAGCTAGTGGTCAAGAAAATTTACGCTGGTTATGTAGATAGCCTCCAAACGTGAAAATTTCCACCTTGTGATTTTGAAATTTTTGTGAAGGCGCAGCTTGCAAGTCGACGTCCGTCAAACGACTTTTATGTTCCTGAAAAGAAAACGACTTTTATGTGGCCCTATGTAGCGGTGCTGGTCCAGTGAAGAATATTCCAGACCCTGTTTATATCAAAAGTTTGTTTTTCGTTCTTTTCGAATCTGAACGACTTTTGGCCACAAAAAATGGGTTTCCTTGGGCCATGTCTGCACCACCAGCTCAGCTAGAGCGTGGCCCACATGGATTTTTTTGATATACAACAAAAGCTTGCAATTTGCCAAAGAGCCCAAGATCGTTTGTGATCCCAGACCTGATGTTTCGTTGTCCATTGTGATTTGTCAATGGATCGTTTTCAGTTCATGGATATTGTGTAGATGCCACCACGTTTAGGGCCTCTTTGGTTCACAGGATTATCAAAATGAAGGAATAAGAAAAATGCAGGAATAGGATGGCATGTCCCATAGTATCCTACAGGATTTGAAAGAATATTTGATAGCGCAGGAAAAACAAAGGAATTCTACAAAGAGGTTTGAGTAGATGAAAATTTTCCTCCAAAATATAGTACAAATGGATCACATGGAAAAATTCCTAAGGATGCCAATCCTACGAATCAAACGAGCATCACAGGAAAAAATTCTAAGGGTTCAAATCTTTCAAAAATCCTATGTAATTCCTTTGAATCAAAGGAGCCCTTATTCAATTTATAGGAAAGTGTCATCGACCGCTTGGATGTATCCAACGTGGCAAGGGCGGAGCCAGCTCATTACCATTGGGTTCAAGTGAACCCAAATGAAAATTTGGAATATCCCTTACAGATTTACACTAGCTTAACCCAATGGTTGATAATCCTGGTTACGCCCCTGCAACGTGGTGGTTGATTTTATTTTTCAGTGTGTCATGGTAGTTGATAAGATCTATCCTATCAACAGTTTCTCATGGTCCGAAGTTTCAACAACCCCCTCCGCCTTCCCCCACGCTATGCCTTGGTGTCGTGTCCGTCCTCAGTGCCACCCGGCTGGCAGCCACCATCACCGGTAAGTAGGTTTGTGGCAACCCCCCGCACCTCCGCTCGCCTTCCTGCATCACTCACCTCGGCCTCTCGTGACCAATGTCGCCGTGCTTCCCCATCGCAGCTCCTCACCTAAGCACCCCTGCCATTGTGCCGCCCCTCTACGCTGCCTCCTGGCCCCGCCTCGTGTTCCCTCACATTCACCATATCACCTCCGCCTTTGCCTAATCGTCTTGGCTTCTGGCACATCGCCCCCGCCACACAACTAATTCTACAAGATATTCATAAAAAATATCACAACAAATCCATTAGTTCACTTGCTTGAAAAAGGCGACCTCGGCTGATTCACATTGCCTTTTGCTATTTCAATCCTTCCATGTCCAATCATCCAAAAGTGGTTCCATTCGAATACTCTGTCGCGAAAAAGAGGCATATCTGATTAATCGACAATTTGAAAGTTTTTGTCATAAAGTGACATGTAGAAATAAAGCGACAACATGGGTTTTGTGACCCGCAAAAAGACAACAACATGGGTTTTGTTTCACAGAATAGATATTTTTAGATGATGAGTGAATTTATTGACTCGGAATGAAACGACAATATGAGACAATGAGCACACACATGATCTATGCATGATTAGGATACATTTAAACAACACCAACACATAAAAGATCACATCGATAAATAGCAAAGTCATAGAAGACCGAAGTTATGCCTAGACGGTGGAAAAACATGAAGCGATCAAAGCACCGACAAACAAACTACAAGAATGATCATCGGCACCAATTATCTATCTTTTGACAACATACAGACAATTGAAAAAGTTATCTAGCAGCAACACCTCTAAGAAGAAAACAATACTCAAGCACCGTCCTCGCCGGATCCAATCTCTGGAGGCGTGATTCTAGGTTTTCATCATGAAAATCAAAAATCCGAGCAACTTCAAACCGTGCTAATGAAACATTGTTATTGTCAGGTGTAACCAACTAGGATCAAGCCTAAGAAAATGTAACGGCAAGCCGCAACGTCTAAAATGGGAAATATGACGTCTAAAATGAAACCTTGTGAGTTGTGACCCCTGGATGATTGCACTAGATACGACACGTGAAATCCTATCTACAGTACTATGTTTATACGCTCCTGGCATCCCAAACAGAGCACGTGAGACTTGAAAGAAAGAAAACAGAGCATATCCACATCCCAGTCCCCACGTAGGACCCTCCCTACGTGTTGTCTGGTTGCGGCACGCACGTACGTGCACACTCCTCCATACGTACGCATGCAGTGCAGCTGGCTGGACGACGAGCGAGGAGGGTGCAACGTTGCCGTCGCGGCCTTGGACGGCCCTCACCGCCATTGTCCACACAGACGGGCCGAGACAAATCGCGTGGCTGCTAATAGCTCCCACGGCGGCTGAGTAAGCGAAATGTGGCTGGCTGGCGTCCTGGCGGCGATCAAATAAGCGGCCAGGGACGGTTGGTCATGGGTAGCGGGTTCATGGCGGCTGGCTTCAGCCCCACGCCGCACCAAAGATTCCGGCGGCCGGCGCTGCTAGCGGTCTTCGGCCACAACTTCTCTTGCTCGTGCTCGTACTTATCCATACACGCACGCGTAGGGCTTCCACCTGGCCACCTCGTGTCCACGTACAAAGTAGCACGGCACGTGCCAGCTCTATCTAAAAGAGAAGAAGAGAGCTAGCAGGGTCCGGTACTGCGCGGTCTAAACTGCATGGGGTGGAGGCATGGTCAAGTGAGTACGTGATGAGCAACCATTTGGTCGGTCGATGCCGATCGACCGAGGGTGCACGTAAGTAAAAGTAAAAGAGCCAGGCCAGCTGCAGAAACTTGTCGCGCTGGGAACGATCACGATGTTGCTGAGGGCGCATGCGGGCGGCAGAGTTCCAGTTGTGTTTTCTTTAGGGTTCTAGTGGTGGTTACTTGACGGAGTGGCCACGTACCGTGCGCGCGAGAACCCGGCCCCTGCCGTGCATGCCGTCCTAGACTCTCCTACTCCTAGTGCACGCAATTTCCGGTCCTGATCCATCCAACAATCTGGGCCTGATCCTGTCACGTAGCTGGACAACGCAATACCGAGACCACCACCAGCAAAGAGAGTGACAAATACTCCGTCATCACTAACACGAAATGTTGGCCGCCACACTGAAGTAGTAGTACGATGGAACACTTGCTCAGAGCAAGGTGTTGGTTGCTAGATTATTTATTAAGCACGCGCCCAACGAAGCCCTCACGCATGGCATGGCTAAAAAAGAATCAGTTTCTCCCTTCCTATAGGAACGAACATCACACTCAAAATGTTTTCTTGGCAAAATTAGCCCGAGAAAAGGTAGGCTTCCCATGAGCTAATCACCTACAACAAATCCAAGAACAAACTACTGTCTTTTGCGGTACAGCCAGTCAATGAGCCAACGCTCTTTGCCCTGCCTCTATAAATAAGCCACAGCCCAAACCAACTCTAGAAACCGACCAAGAAGCACCAGCACACGAGTTCGAGGTAGACAAACGCCTCGAGAGAAAGACAGGGAGAACATGGCGGCCATCTCCTCCACCTCCTACTTCTCCTCGCAGCCGCAGCTGCCGGCGTCCGACGGCGCCAACCCTGCCACCGCCAGAAGCAGCAGCAGCAACGGCCGGGAGCCCCGGAGGCGGCGGACCGGCAGGTGCATCATGCTGGAAGCAGACGCTGCCTCTGCTAGTGGCAGTGGCGGCGCGGCGGCGGGGAGGACGAGGAGCCTGACGGAGGAGGACCTGGAGGAGCTCAAGGGCTGCCTCGACCTCGGCTTCGGCTTCTCCTACCACCAGATCCCGGGCCTCTGCGGGACGCTCCCCGGCCTGGAGCTCTGCTACTCCATGACGCGGAGGTTCCTCGACGAGCAGAGGACTCTGGTCGGGCAGCTGGAGCCTGCTACTGCGGCGGCAGCGCCCATCCCGGATTGGAAGATCTCCGGCCCTGGTAAGACTTGTTTTCCCGTGCACGCAATTTCGATTTCGCTACAATCGTTTCGGGATGACGCCAAGATGGCAAAGGTTTTTCTCTGCTGTTGTGGCAGAACTCTCTGTTTATGCTTCCATTTCTATTAAAAAACACTACATAAAATGAACTAAGAGTATAGAAAAAGGTTTTAAACATTTTTGGTTGGCGCAGTCTAAATTTGATGAAAGAACTGAAATTTTCAGCATATAGAAGGAGGAATCCCTGGAATTGTTGCCTCGTAGTGGACGTTTCGATTGCGAGCGCCTACAGCGGGTTTCCCTGGAATGCTTGAGCTCGCTGTTTCCCTTTCCCTTTTTCGTTTCGACTGGACCTTATTCGTATTTCCGTTATTTTTATAATGGAAAGGGGACTAGCCCGGCTTAAAAAAATAAAAAATAAATAAAAGGAGGAATCAATACTAGCATTGAGTACTCTAGTATGGTTCGGATGAGTGAGGAAGATCCCAACCTGTAGTCCAGGGCTGGAATTCGAGCCGAGTCGAGCCAGCTCGGCTCGACTCGCTAGAGCTCATTTTGTTAACGAGCTAGCTCGACTCGACTCGTTACTATAACGAGCTCAAACCTAAGATTGGCTCGACTCGTATAACTCGCGAGCTGGCTCATTTAGCTTGTTAAACTCGTTTAGATTATAAACATAAAGCTCTGATAAAAATGATTTTGTATATATTAAACATATATATCACTAAACAGTTGTAATTTTCTTGTAACGCATGAGTCTCCTAGGAGGCTAGGCCTTCAACTGCTTGGCCTTGGGTTGTGCGTCTGGGACGTAGGTTGTTTAGTGGCTGATCTTTCTTTGTATTGGGAGTGGTTGATCTATCATATCGAGCCTAACGATCTTAAATTAAAGCTCGGCTCAACTCGTTAATCTTCGAGTTCGAGTCGATTCGAGCCGAGTCATGAGCTACTTGTTTAGCTCACGAGCTTCGAGCTTTTTTTCCAGCCTTACTGTAGTCACACTCACATCCCCAGTTGCAAAACAGAAACAGAAAGGGAACTCAGTAAGGTGAACTGTCTTCTCCAAGACAAGCTTCACAACAAAGCAAAACAATAGCCCCCACAGAAAATCTGTCTCCTCTCTCCAACGCATAATTAGCCCTAAAAATAAGAATTTGCAAATTTTTAAGAAAATGCTAATCTTTATACCTTGAGTGTACCATTATGCCTTCATACAAAACCAGCAGTGCGCGCGAAGCATCTGGAGTTGTGTTTGATTTGCTATTCATTTACGATGATATCCTATTCTTCTTTGTGATTAACAAATGACATGCTTTGGCAGGTGATGATCCTGACGAAGTGAAAGCTCGGCTCAAGTATTGGGCACAGACAGTGGCATGCACAGTCAAACTCTGCACCTAGTGGAGTGGAGGTCGGGACTAGGGAGTTTGCGAGTTCATCCCATGACATGTGTGCTAAGATGGGCTCAACTGAAGGTGGCTGAAGCTGAAGATTCTGCTTACATGGCTCTAAGATATGTTATACCGAGGAGATGCTTCGGTTGCGCGCTATCGGGATAATATAACAGATCGGTGCTTTCCGAAAACTTCAGAGAGGGAGATGACTTATGACACCACAGAACTGCGAGAAATCTTGAGGCGATATGTCGTCTAAGCTTTAATGAAAGCATCAGAAGCTTGTCATTCGTCATAGGCAATGGTCACTAGGTGTTCTAAACGTGCAACTCGGAGACCTGCTAGTGCTTTTAATCTTCCTTGTAATGGTCATTAGGAGCTCCAACTGTGTTCTACTGCGCCAAGTTGAGCTTTGCAAATATGTCAGTAGGTTGGCTCAAGTATGGATTTGTTCTCACGTTCCTGAACTTTAATTTGCTTTCAAAGAGTCATGATGGACACAGCGATTCGGTGCTCGAGCTCAGATGCTCCCGAAATCACTGTCGTCCGTTCCTGTCTTGGGATCCCAACAATTCAGAATCGAATATTCCGTTCATGAATATATTTGTTGATTTTGCTGTACTGCACTGCAAAGGTGCAGAAACAGTTTGCCCTAAAATAGATTTCTTTGTCCAGCTTAATAGCAAGTTGTGTCTGCTGTTATTCAGGATATCATATGATCCCACTGAGCTGAATTTATGAGGTGGCAAAATTGAGAAAAAAACATGGGCGACATAACTAACTGAGCAGTATTGACCAAAATAAGGCAGCGGATCCCTTCAACACATATATTTCACGATCTTATTGGATTTACATTGGTGCCCAATGGAGAATAAAACATGGTTACTGGTGCCCGGTGTAGATTTTTTTTTTTTGAAAAGGGGATTACCGCGGCCTCTGCATAACAGGAGTTCATGAAATAAGTTGCAGACACCCAGTTTCAGATAGTAAAACAAATTAGAAAAAACACACAACCATAACCGGTCGAACTCGAGATTACATAGCTCATCTATACAATCTATGAGGCCAACTTCACCGCGCGACCCCATTTTGTCCGGCTACGTCCGTTTGGGGTACAAGGGATAAACCGGTTGGCCCAGCACGCGACGGCTCGGACCCATCCTGTCCGTTTTGTGTCCGGACTGATCCATTTCGAGCGCAAACATGCGCCGGTTTTGGGTCACGGCGGACAGCAAACGGACGCACGCTCGTCCACGTCAGGGCCGCGTGGCAGGCGGCCACCTACCTCCCACCCGTCCACATCAATGCGCACGCGCGGCCGGGCCCGCCTGTCATCCGCCCAGGGAAACGTCGCGGTCGTACTTAAATGCGGAAGCCGTGGACCGGTCCACACTCCCCACTCCACCCCGCGGCCTCCTCGAAACCCGACACTTCAAACCCTAGGCCTCGAACTCGCCGGCCGGCCGCCTAGCAGTCATGGGCCTGTGGAACTACGGCCGCAAGGGGAAGCACGACGGCGAGGCCGGCTCCTCCTCGGGCCGCCGCCGCGGCTCCGTGAAGAAGGAGGAGCCCGCGTCACCGCCACGCTCCTCCCGTCGAGCCCCCGCGTCGGCCCTGTTCACCATCGGCGCTAGGCCCGCCGGCGAGCGCGACCGGCAGTACCTCAGCGCCGACGTGTGCCGGCGCTACTGGAAGACGAGGACGCCGGTCCCGTGGAGCGACATCCACCTCCCCAACAACTAGCACGTCAGCGCTGACCGGGTCCCGATCCTGCCGGTGCCGATGAGCGGCCGTGCGCGCCGCGATGAGATCGAGCGCCGCCGCCGCCTCCTCCCCGACGACCTCTACTACGATGATAGGTACGCCCCCGATTCCGTGCTCTGGGACACGTGGCTCCAGGACGAGCATGACACGTGCCGCGCGTCCTACTTCGCCGGCACGGTGTCGGGGCCGCAGCGGCCACGTCCAGAGGTGTGTGGGCGTACGCGGGTGCGCGGCCTCACGCCCACGCCGTCGCCTTCCCCGTCTCCGTCACCACCTCCACCTCCTCGCATGACAACGGAGGAGGAGGCCCGGCTCATGTAGCGTGTCATGGAGGACTCCATGAACATGCACGACGAGCGCAAATGAGACGGCTTGGAGGAGGCGCTGGAACTCTCTGCCGCCGGCGACATCGCCTTCCTCGAGCTGGAGATGGTGGCCGTCAAGGAGGAGGAGAGGAGGGACGAGGTGCTAGAGGAGGAGCCTGTCGCCGCGTTCCACCCGGATCTCGTGGGCCAGCACTGGAACTGGTCGTGCACGGCTCCGGCGATGGCCGACGCCGTGGGGGGCGTGAACTAGTGCCCCACGCCGCCGCGGTCACCGAAGCGGGAGGCCTCGCCATGGGAGGAGGTGGTGCAGGCACCTCCTGAAGGAAATATGCCCTAGAGGCAATAATAAAGTTATTATTTATTTCCTTATTTCATGATAAATATTTATTATTCATGCTAGAATTGTATTAACCGGAAACATAATACATGTGTGAACACATAGACAAACATAGTGTCACTAGTATGCCTCTACTTGACTAGCTCGTTTATCAAAGATGGTTATGTTTCCTAGCCATGGACAAAAGAGTTGTCATTTGATTAATGGGATCACATCATTAGGAGAATGATGTGATTGACATGACCCATTCCGTTAGCCTAGCACTTGATCGTTTAGTATGTTGCTATTGCTTTCTTCATGACTTATACATGTTCCTGTAACTATGAGAATTATGCAACTCCCGTTTACCGTAGGAACACTTTGGGTACTACCAAACGTCACAACGTAACTGGGTGATTATAAAGGAGTACTACAGGTGTCTCCGAAGGTACATGTTGAGTTGGCGTATTTCGAGATTAGGTTTTGTCACTCCGATTGTGGAGAGGTATCTCTGGACCCTCTCGGTAATGCACATCACTATAAGCCTTGCAAGCAATGTGACCAATGAGTTGGTTACGGGATGATGCATTACATAACGAGTAAAGAGACTTGCCGGTAACGAGATTGAACTAGGTATTGGATACGGACGATCAAATCTCGGGCAAGTAACATACCGATGACAAAGGAAACAACATATGTTGTTATGCGGTTTGACCGATAAAGATCTTCGTAGAATATGTAGGAACCAATATGGGCATCCAGGTTCCGCTATTGGTTATTGACCGAGAATAGTTCTAGGTCATGTCTACATAGTTCTCGAACCCGTAGGGTCCGCACGCTTAACGTTACGATGACAGTTATATTATGAGTTTATGAGTTTTGATGTACCAAAGGAGTTCGGAGTCCCGGATGAGATCAGGGACATGACGAGGAGTCTCGAAATGGTCGAGACGTAAAGATCGATATATTGGACGACTATATTCGGAGTTCGAAAAGGTTCCAAGTGATTCGGGTATTTTTCGGAGTACCGGAGAGTTACGGGAATTCGCCGGGGAGTATATGGGCCTTATTGGGCCATACGGGAATAGAGGAGAGAGGCCGAAAGGAAGGAGGCGCACAGCCCCCCTCTGGTCCGAATTGGACAAGGGGTGCGGCCCCTTTTCCTTCCTCCTCTCCCCCTCTTTCCCCCTTCTCCTACTCCAACAAGGAGGGAGTCCTACTCCCGGTGGGAGTAGGACTCCCCTTGGCGCGCCCCTACTAGGCCGGCCGCCCCTCCCCCCTTGCTCCTTTATATATGGGGGCAGGGGGGCACCTCTAGGCACGACAACACAAGTTGATCTACGGATCGTTCCTTAGCCGTGTGCGGTGCCCCCCTCCACCATATTCCACCTCGGTCATATCGTCGTGGAGTTTAGGTGAAGCCCTGCGCCGGTAAAACATCATCATCGTCACCACGCCGTCGTGCTGACGAAACTCATCCCCGAAGCTTTGCTGGATCGGAGCTCGGGGATCGTCATCGAGCTGAACATGTGCTAAACTCGGAGGTGCCGTACGTTCGGTGCTTGGATCGGTCGGATCGTGAAGACGTACGACTACATCAACCGCGTTGTCATAACGCTTCCGCTTACGGTCTACGAGGGTACATGGACGAACACTCTCCCCTCTCGTTGCTATGCCATCACCATGATCTTGCGTGTGCGTAGGAATTTTTTTGAAATTACTACGTTCCCCAACAGTGGCATCCGAGCCTAGGTTTTATGCGTTGATGTTATATGCACGAGTAGAAGACAAGTGAGTTGTGGGCGATACAAGTCATACTGCTTACCAGCATGTCATACTTTGGTTCGGCGGTATTGTGAGATGAAGCGGCCCGGACCGACATTACGCGTACGCTTACGCGAGACTGGTTTCACCGTTGCGAGCACTTGTGCTTAAAGGTGGCTGGCGGGTGTCTGTCTCTCTCACTTTAGCTGAATCGAGTGTGGCTACGCCCGGTCCTTGCGAAGGTTAAAACAGCACCAACTTGACAAACTATCGTTGTGGTTTTTGATGCGTAGGTAAGAACGGTTCTTGCTAAAGCCCGTAGCAGCCACGTAAAATTTGCAACAACAAAGTAGAGGACGTCTAACTTGTTTTTGCAGGGCATGTTGTGATGTGATATGATCAAGACGTGATGCTATTGTATGAGATGATCATGTTTTGTAACCGAAGTTATGGGAAACTGGCAGGAGCCATATGGTTGTCGCTTTATTGTATGAAATGCAAACGCCCTGTAATTGCTTTACTTTATCACTAAGCGGTAGCGATAGTCGTAGAAGCAATAGATGGTGTAACGACAACGATGCTACGATGGAGATCAAGGTGTCGCGCCGGTGATGATGGTGATCACGACGGTGCTTCAGAGATGGAGATCACAAGCACAAGATGATGATGGCCATATCATATCACTTATATTGATTGCATGTGATGTTAATCCTTTATGCATCTTATCTTGCTTTGATTGACGGTAGCATTTTAAGATGATCTCTCACTAAAATTATCAAGAAGTGTTGTCCCTGAGTATGCACCGTTGCCAAAGTTCGTCGTGCCCAGACACCACGT